AGCAAAGTATTTGTGAATCCCACACCACAAGATAAAGTATTCAGAACATTGTGGACTATCCTACCAGGGCTCTGTAGCAACGCGCCTCTTCGCAAATCTACCGAGGCTCGGTAGCAACGGCGTCATTCTGCTTGCTCTGTGCTATTCTACCGAGGCTCGGTAGCAACGGGCCACTTTGCGTGCCGTTCAGCCAATCAGCAAAGCACAGCTGTCCATCATCCCCAACAAAACCTGTCAGCTTTATTGAAACCACCAGTCACAGAAGCAACACAACCCACCAATCTTCTCCTCAGCATTCCTACAAAGGCTCCGTAGCAACTAGATAAAATGAGGAACGAGCCACCGTTTGGACAGACATACTCCTATTGTACTCTCTCATAACATCTCCAATCTATACTCACCTGTGCTTGCCGTCGGACACGTTCACTTTGTTCCCCCACGACTTCCCCTCTCCTGCGATGTGCTTCAGCGTCCACGCACTCAGAGGGCTTGTCTCCTTCGTCTTCTCCAAATACTCCTTCCAATCCTTGATGCTCTCTCTCTCCACCTCGTCCCAGGTATCCCGCATTTTCTTGTCCATCGGGAAGGTCTTCCCATTGTACTGCAATGTTGACAAAGAACATATTCGATCCCCATGACGAGCCAGATTGATTCCATTTGAAGGTGCGTTGTCATCCGAATCACAAGCAATCCAACAACTCTTGCAACTTGTGCATCTTTCCTTACAAGCAATGGTCGCCAATAATCACCAAAGCCCTGCAAAATATCCATCACAATATCACCCTCCCATTCCACTATTCCTTCTACAAATAAAACCAACCTACTCACCGACACGACCCCCGTCAAAATGGACCTCGTCGTGTCGAACCCATTGATACGGAACCTCTGCCGGATCCGCGCCACTCCTTCTGCGTTCAGCTGACGCGGGTTGAAGGACACCAGCTCCCCTCCGATCATCTCGTCCTCGGTCGAGAGATACCCGATAGGGATGGTCACTATCCCATCAGGCTTGATCTTTCTCAGATCATCCGGGACGAAATCTTTGATCTGATCCTGCAGGGTGGTCTGCAGGTAGGTCTTTTCCAGCTTCGAAAGGACCCCCTGCGCAGCCCGAATCCCCAGAGTGCTTACGCCCGCCTTCATCTTTCCCGGGGTGGTGACCTTGACATGCGCGGGCGGCACTTCCGTCAACTCCTCCTCCCCACCGGTCGAACCGGGCGTCCCGTCCCTTCTTCACGGGACCGCTCCTCTTGGATTTTGGCACTACTGGTCCAGCCCCACCAGCGGCCTCGGGCTTCTGCTTCTTAGCCGCCTTGCCACTGCCCTCGGCCTCCGCGGTTGCCACCCTCTTAAGCCCACCCTTTCCCTTTGCATCTCCCTTTGCCCCTCCCTTTGCCCCTCCCTTTGCCCCTCCCATTTCGACGGTGCTCTCAGACCTACTGTCACGACTGTTCTTTTCGCCCCACTCCCACGTCCCACTCGTTTTAGAATGGACGGCTTTCCCAAGATTTCCGATCATCTGAGAGTCGTCTGCAGGGAGCAGCAAAGGATCACTTGGTTCAGTTCAACGAAACACCACCAACAGCAGCTGCAACGGAGGAAAGCTACCGAGGCTCGGTGGCGACTGGCCAAAGTACGGGCAAGGTAGGAAACAGCGTTTGCTAACGAGGCTCGGTACATTATCAGCGAATCTGCCTGCGGCTGTTGCAAAGGCTCGGCAGCAACGGAGGATCGCGGGAGAAGTAACAAATGGGGATATCGTTTGCTACCGAGCCTCGGTTACTAATGACTAGCGTAAGAATAAGGTACCAGGATAGTCCACATGAAACGGCAGAAGCTACCGAGGCTCGGTAGCTTCCTGAGGAAACAGGCTGCTGCTGCTACTACGGGGCAATGCTACCGAGGCTCGGTAGCAACGGACCAGCGTGACTAAAAGAAGCGTGAGCTGCCGAGGCTCGGAAGCAACAGACCAGCGTGACTCAAACAAGGGTGAGATGCCGAGCCTCGGTAGCAACGGACCAGCGTGACTCAAACAAGGGTGAGCTGCCGAGCCTCGGTAGCAACGGACCACCTTGA